CCAAACAGCACTTTATTTTGTTCCTGTACAGAGGAGGCGATTTTATTCTCATTTTCCAAAAACAATTTTAATAATATTTTTAGGTAAGATCCAACCCAGGGCAATTCAGCCACAAAAAAACTGGTCCCAAATGCCTAGATGTGAGTAGGGATCCCAATAACTATCAGAAAAGAGTTTGCTTGGGCAGCTGAATTGCTTTTCAATGCAGAAAGCAATATTTTATTGGAGAATAACCTTCTGCCTAGTAACCCAGAAAATAACAGGAAAGAGTGGAATGGAGACTGGCATTTTACAATGGCTCTGGACCTGAATTTAGCCTGATTGCTACAGACTAACAGAGCTGTCATGTGCTGTTACAAATCATCTTTGGGGCTATTTTGCTGTAATAGCTTTGGGTTATTTCCTTGGAAAGCCAAACCCAGAGAAAAGCAGCCTTCAAGTGCCATGATTACCTGGCAAGCAGGAGCTGTAGCTGATTCTTAATGCTACTGGAGTCCAGCAAAAGTGCCCACAAAACAGTCAGAGCTGCTGCAAGAAAAGCAATAAATTAATATTTTAACCTAGTTAAATTATTAATTTAGTTAGTTTAACTAGTTAACCTAGTTAATTTAGTTAACAGTTTAACCTAGAACAGATTCAATCATAATGCTGAATTCCACTCGTTTCCTGGTATCTTTGCCCAAATTTCCTATGAGATGCAATGAAGCAGGAAAGATTTCCAAGTCTGTATTCACCAAACCACAACTCTTCAGAGTTTAAAAGAATTAAAAACCAGAACATAACATGGAGAATGCAGTCTTGTTAAATCTAAATTTAACTTTCAACCAACACCAGTGGATGTTTGCATTTCCGTATGCTTTGCATTTCTCTACACTTGGACTTGTTTCACTGGGAATTTCCAGGGAAACAACTCTTGCTGTCTGCCCATCCTTCTCCCTTGACTGCCCTTCAGGCATTTTTGCAGCTTTTTGGCATTTTTGCAGCTTTCAAGTGGAAAAATGATGCCTACAGCTTATGGCACAGGAAACTGAACTTGTTGCACCTTGGAAAGCATCCTCCACACTGAAGCATTGCTGTGACCTTAGAGCCCCTGTGGTTCCCTCTGTCAGTGTATGGAGGGGGTAAAAACTGGAAACATCTTCAAGGAAGGATCAGCAGCTCAGCAGAAACAGACTATTTAATCTTATATTTTAAGATATTCTGGACTTGGAGGAGAGAAAGACAAAGGAGGCAGAAAGTTCGCCCAAACACCAGAAGTTTCTCATTACAGATTCTCCATTTTCCTGCTCAGGAATGAATCGAGGTAAAAGGAGCTTTTGGAGCTGCTCAGCCAAAAGCTCCCGGCGGCAGAGCCAGCAGCAATCCCAGCTGGGTTACTCAGAGCTGCAGGTCGGTATTTTCCATAGGGAAAAAAATAAAAAAAAAAAAAAAAATTGCCGTCCCCTGGAAAAACGGAATCATCGGAACTGGAACTCCCAGGTGGGGAAAGAGGGGCGAGGGGGCAACCTCGCTGCACTTCCCTGACCCCTTAACAGGGCGGAATAGCAGAAACCGAGGGCTGGCTGCAGATGGGAAACATCCTCCCCTCGCAGTCCCTGCGAGCCGGGGCGGGCAGGGGGGATACCCCCTCCCACCAGCCACCGCCACCTCCACCAGCCTCCACCTCCTCCACCTCCACCTCCACCTCCACCTCCACCTCCACCTCCACCTCCACCTCCTCCTCCTCCTGCTCCTGCTCCGGCCGCCCCGCAGCGCCGCTCCAGCTGAGACCTCCCGGGGGCACCGGGACACGCCTGGGGGCTCCAAGGAATCGAGGGCACTCGTGTCCCTTTTGGAGTGCAGGAAAGGGAGATAGAAGGACTGGGGGTACGCGTGTCCTCGCCCCCCGTGCTCCGGGGGGGAGCCGAAGGATTGAGGACGCTCAAACTCCGCGGTGTGGCTGTGTCTGAGGGACCGGGACCGGGCTGGGAGGGATGTCTGAGGGACCGGGACCGGGCTGGGAGGGATGTCTGAGGGACCGGGACCGGGCTGGGAGGGATGTGAGGGACCGGGACCGGGCTGGGAGGGATGTGAGGGACCGGGACCGGGCTGGGAGGGAGGTGAGGGACCGGGACCGGGCTGGGAGGGATGTGAGGGACCGGGACCGGGCTGGGAGGGATGTCTGAGGGGCCGGGACCGGGCTGGGAGGGATGTCTGAGGGGCCGCGGTTCCAGGGCCACTCTCGCTTTACCCGCGGGGGGATCTGTTGTCGCTGCTGGAGGGGACGGAGCTGCTGCTGCTGCTCCTCCTTCTCCTGCTGGGGGAAACGCTGGGACGGGGCGGTGGCCGGGGGATGGAGGGGGTCGGGCCGAACCCACTGTGCCTCTCACAGCACGTCCTGGGGGCCGGAGGGCTCTGGAGCGGTGTGAGGTCCTCACCTGCAGGGAGCGGTGGAGCCGCGCACATCCCGGCACAGAGCGAGTCCCTGAGTGGGGACAGGACACCGGCACAGGCACAGAGCCCTCACGTTCCTCCAGGGGACAGAGTCCCTGCTGTGCTCTGGGGCCCAGGGGGAATCCGCGGACACCGCTCCTCCCTGAGTGCGGATTGCCCATGGAGTGTGTGTGCACACTCTGGGATACTCTGCCATCCAAGGCTGGGGAAGTGTGGCCCGTTCTAAAAGCCCGTTCTAAAAGCCCGGGACTGACTGTGGGAGGGAAGGTAGCAGCCCCCAGGTGTGCCCCACCAGTTCTGGCAAGAGATAGAAATTAGCTGTGACTCAACGAGGACCATGGGGATGAGGCTCCAGGCTTCTGGAATGCCTTGGTTCTGCCATCCTCTGGGGGACCACACCTAGGTACTGCCATGGGGATGATGTGTCACTGGGGTCTCCAGCTGTGTCACTGGGGTCTCCAGCTGTGTCTCTGGGGTCTCCAGCTGTGTCTCTGGGGTCTCCAGCTGTGTCTCACTTTCACAGCACCGGAGGCCACATGGACCTCTCCGCACGAGTCAGCAGCTGCTGCTGGTGCTCAGGGAAGGGGCTCTTTCCACAGGGGCAGCTTTCAGGAGAGTCCCAGTCCTGTGTGGTGATGGTGACAATGCTCTGTCACTCCTGCCAGGGGTCACAGGCATCTCCATGTGTCACCATTAGCCAAACTTCCATGTTCTGTATGGAATGGGGCTCACAGAGCCTCCAGTTCCCAGCAGCTGTGCCAGGTAAATCTCACATCCACCAGAGCACGCTCAGCACAAGGCTGTGGGCTGGAAAGGATGTGGGATGGAAGAGCTGTTGTGATGGTCAGGGAGCATGGAAATGTTACTTCTTGAGACCCAGCTTATTTTCTAATGCAAAAGACCAAGAGTACAGGAATCTCTGGCTCTTCTCACAGCCTGGTGATGAGTGTTTAGATTCATGAATGTAATTAATGTAAGTGCAAATTATAATATTTAAGTCTCAGACAGCTTTGTTTTCCAAGCAGACAGTGCAACATGAACTCATGTTTTGCAGTTTGTACCACTGGGAGTTATAGGTGAAAAATCCCCACTGCAATTCTCAGTAAATCAAAAATAAAACCTACAGAGCTGCTGTAATATGTAAGCCTTTCCAAATCCAGATTTTGAGTTCTAATTAAAAAATGAAAAAAAAAAAATTAAAACCATTAATTTGGATGTGACAGAGCGGTGTAGGAAAAGCTGAAACCTGCACGTTGCTGCATCTCTTGGCAGCGCAGCTCTCCTGAGGTAGTGCTGATCTTTGGATACACACTGAAACAGGGACAAAGAGCCAGATTTGGTGGAAAACCCTGTCTTGGAGTTCAATTCAGGTTTGGCATTTATGTGCATGGAAAGCCATTGGTAGGTGGAATTGTCACATTTGTGACCCTAAATCACTTCACAAATCAGAACCCTCACAATTTCAGAATCCCTCTGTTCTGCCAGGTGTTGCCTGGGATTTTAAATGTTCAACTCCCCATAATGAAATCTGCTCTGGATCCAGGGCTTTTGTGGAAAGGGAGGTGGTAAAGCATCATGAGAAAGGCTGGTCAGGAGGGATGGCCATCAGGTTAGCTCAGAGAGGATCAACTTGTCTTGTCTGCAGTACTCACACACTTTGGGATGTCTGTGTGCTAAGGCTTTTCCATCACATTCCCAGCTGCATTTGCTTGGATGGGTCAATGCAGGAAAAATTTCCAGCTTTAATGTGCCTGTTTCTGTAATGAAGGCTTTCTGTACCAGAGCAGACACAACTAGATGAAGAGCTGTGAGTCTGTAAGGGGGCTACACCAGCAGAAAGGTGTTCTCATGTCAGCTGACACATCCTGACAGGACTTTCCCAAGGTCATGGGCTCTAACATGACTCCTGTCAACTTCCCAGAGCCCACATCAGGAGACACTGCTGATGGGTGATGGCAGCAGCAAGGTTTTACCCAGCAGCACAAAAGGAGCCGAGGTTTTGGTCTTTCCATGTTTCCAGCCTCTGGGAGCAGCCCACCTCCAGCTCCCTCCTTCTCCTCTCCATTTGCAGGTTGCTGCCTCCAAAGACCCAGTGGCCAACGCAACCTGCAGCAGTGATGTTGAGTTTGGTTGTGGTTCTGCTGGGAACGTGGACCTTGGGGAGTAAGTGTGATTTTGGGGAAGGGAACCCCAGGGGAGATCCTGGGTAGCTGATGCCCCTCAGGGGAATTTCCTCTGACCCACAGGACATCTTATCAGAGCAACCTGATCTGGTGGAAGGTGTCTCTGCCCATGGCAGGGTGAATGGAACCAGGTGATGGTTATGGTCCCTTCCAACACAAATTCTATCATTCTATGATGCAGTTTGTGAGGAGATAAGAAAAAGTTGGAGCAAAGTGCAGGTTGAGAGGCTGCCCGATGGCAGCTGAGATGAGTGGACAGCTTGTAAGCTGGAACTGGAAGTCCTTGCTAGTATTAGCAAAATAAAAAGTAAAAGTAATAAAAATTAACATGAAGAAAATAAGGCAGGTGCTGATGCAAAAGTGCCAAGTCTTCCCTTGACTCACATGGACATTGTAGAAGTCAGAAGTAAGGAGAGGTTTCTGATCCAGTGAGAGCGAAGGAGAAAAGGAATGTCTTTTGGGATTAGACTGGTGGTGGCCACAAATTGATCTGGAGACATCAGGATCACAAGCATGATTTTCTAATTTTAGCCATTGTCCCTCAAAAGGAGTGCAAAACTTGTCTAAAAAACTGCATATTTGGGAAGTTTCAGAAGAAATATGGGAACAGATCACAATGTAACTATAATTCTATAGCTGTGATGCTTGTTTCATGCTTTTTGCTGGCTGCTCATGAAGTGGGTCTTGTCTCTTCCAGGAGCCCAGGAGAGCATCTCGTGGGAGGTGCAGCGCTACGATGGCTGGTACAACAACCTGCTGCACCACAGCCACGGCTCCGTGGGTGAGTGCCCGGCCTCGGGCTGGGAATGGCGGGATGGGGCCAGGTGAGCTGCCCCTTGGGCATCTGGCTTGCTTTGTGGCTGAGACAGAAACCTTTCTGACCTGAGCCTGAACCAGGCAGGTCAGTGGACAACGGCACCTCCCATGGCCCTCAGTGGTCCCTAAATGCACCTGAGAGCCACGTGGAGCTGTGTGGAGGGGCCAGACAGCCCTTGGCTGGGCAGTGCCACATTTTGCTGCTGCCCAGCACAACCTGCAGGTCATGCTGGATCAGCCCCAAGAGCAAGGCTGTGTCTTTGTGAGATCACTCAGAATATCCAAGGCGAGGAGGACCCAGCTCTTTTCAGCAGGTGTTTCTGTGATGTTCAGGGATCCCAGAGCTGCAAAAAATCATCTTTAGCCAAATGCAGCTCAATCAGGATTCAGCTCAAGGCAGAAGAGTTCATGATCCAGGCATGCTGACCTATTGATTTCCTGCCCTGCAGAGAGCTGGTAACATGCACTGCTTGGTACTGGGAGAGGCATTTGGGATTTCCCTGTGCCATTGGTGAACTGTTTCCTAGTGCCTACAGCCAGCCCATAGGCTCAGCTCTAGATGTCCCTGAGCCAGGGACCAGGACAGACCAGGCATGGTCTTATCCAAAACACTGAAGATTCTGAATCATCATTTCTGGCAGCCCAGGCTGGTCACTGCTCTGGTGATACACCAGCACAAGCTGCAGTGGCAGCTGCACAGCTTCCTCTCAGTCCAAAGGGCTCTTCCACAGGACAAGTGTGTCACCTGCCTTTGATAACATCAAAGCCTGACAGGAAAAAACATCCCTGGCAGATCAGGTCTTCCTCTTCTAGAGCAGACAGAACAGACCTTAACTTTTGGAAACCAACATATGGAAACTGAGCCACAAACTAAGGCAGGAATTCAGGCTTTCCCCCAGTTCTGGGGAGCTCCAGTAAGTGGAGCCCACCACACTGGTGACAAGCTTTTCAAAATCAGTGAGAAATTACCTCCTGCCTCTGGGCTTTTCAGTTTCGGGACCAGCAGTGCGTGCAAAATCAGGGTGTTTCTCTCTCATCTTCACACTTGTCTTGCTGCCTCTCTGGCTGTTCCCTCTCCTATTCCCTGTGGTGCTGGCATTGCTGCCTGGGCATGTGGCCTCTGCAGTTCCTGGCATGTCCTTGCTGGGATGTCCTCACTGGGGCTCAAATCTTCCTCTCCCTTGGGAAGCTGCCTGCTCTCCTACAGCCCCCTGACCCAAATTCCTACCTCCCTGCATCTTCCACCCTTTCCCCTTTCCTGGGCTCCACTCTGGGCTCAGCTCCAGGGACCTTCTGCTCCCTCTGCTCCCAGTCAGGGAAGAAAAAACTATTGTAACACCACCATTACCGTAGATCCCTTGGGGACCTACACTTTTGTAGGATTGCACAGTCAACATGGGACAACAGCTCAGCATTGCCCCAGTTACCCACTGGAGCAGCACCCCAGACCCCCAGGAGGCAACAGGGATGGCACATGGACAAGACAACTGGAAGAGAGGAAGATGGAGGATGGAGGATCCCTCCTGGTTTTAAGAGTACTGATCAAAGTGTTGCAAGAGGTTTTGGGTGCTGACACCAAAACTCGCATGTTCTTGGCCACTCTAAGGACCTGTGCTATCCCCTCACTGTCTCCTGGGACCCACATCCATGTATCCCGCTCCAGCCATGCCTCCCTCTGGGTGCCACAGAACCCATTCCGTGTTTTTTGGTGCTGCAGGAGCCAGGCTGCTGCGTCTCCTGCCAGCCAACTATGCCGACGGCGTCTACCAGGCACTGCAGGAGCCCCGCGTGCCCAATGCTCGCCGGCTGAGCCAGGCGGTGGCGTGGGGACCCTCGGGGCTGCCCTCCAGCAGGAACACAACTGTGCTGGCTGTCTTCTTTGGTAAGACCTGGGGCCCCACACCGACTGGAAAAAATGGTGGTTTGGGTGGAAAAATGTTGGTTTGTCTCACACACTCATGGGAGCGCTCCTCAGCCAGCCCTCCACAGCAGACCCACGTGGGGAGATCAGAGCCACAAAGCCTTGGCTACGACTTTAGCACAGCACTGTCCAGCTAGGAGAGTTCATGTGCATTTTTGGGGACCTTTGCCGGTTGTCCCAAGTGCTGGTATTTGTCAGCTGGGAACTTCCTCGTTTCTTTTAGCAGTGGGGATGCCCCATTTCAAAAACACCGGACAGATCCAGTAAGAGCCATGCTGGGCTGAACTGGTGCAAGTTGGAGCAGTTTTTTCTGTCTCCCAGGAGCTCAGTGGGGTCTTAGGTCTCCAGGCAGGGAAATGTTTGTCTCTGGAAAATCGTAGAACCCCAGAATGTTTGGGTTGGAAGGGACCTCAATGGTCATCTTGTTCCACTAGACCAGGTTTCTTCAAGCCCTGTTCATCCTGGCCTGAGCCCCCCTTGCTGCACATGATGCCCTCAGCCTGCCTAGAGCTGTCCTCGCTGGGGTCCTGCTCCAAGTGCTGGCAGCAGTCCTGGCAGCTGCTGACCAGGGTTTGGTGTCTGTCAGGTTTCCATGTGCTCTTGGACATCATGGAGACAGAGAAACCTGGCTGCCCTGCTGAGTTCCTTAACATCTACATCCCACCTGGAGACACGGTGTTTGACCCTGCCGGCACTGGAGATGTGGTGCTGCCCTTCCAGCGCAGCTGCTGGGCAGCAGGGACGGGGCAGAGTCCCAACAACCCCCGGGAACAGGTGGGTGTGCTTCCCTCTGCTCTCTGCCCCTCCGTCTAAGTTCTTCCTCACTCACCATCAGGGTCTGTAGCAGCCAAGATAATTGGCAAAAATAAAATTAGAGCACTGCTATGCCCCTAAAAATGTACATCTCTCAAGTGTTTGAGCCAGTGAAAGGAATCCAAAGTCAACTTCCAAGTTTTGCATTGAGCAACACTAATGATTGCCCAAGACCAAAGCATTTCCTGGACAAAGAAAAGGTAATCAGGTCAGTTAATTATCTCACATTGTTTTAGGCACCAAGTCCTGTCTTTAATAGTGTATCACAAAGTTGCAGTGCTCCTCTGAATTTCAGTCACTTTGGAAAATAAATCCAGGTTTTCCTCCAGTTTGTCTGGATTTTGCTGTTCTGCTTGTGCTCCCCAGGTTTCTTTCATGCTGGAGATCTTCCCAGCCAAAATCACTGAAGTGAAACACCCCCCTGAACCTTTCACATGACAAACCCTGAAGAGACCAGTTTAGAAAGACATGTTTTTATGAACATTTAAAAGCTAAAAAAACTCCAGCATGTTTTCAGAATAAAAAGTATGTTTCCATGCAAACATTTGGCAGGGGAGATACTCATCATGCTGCCAGGACAGTGGGACTTTTTGCTGCGGGGTCAGAGGGGACAGCTCTGGTGTTCCCAGCTTCCCCAGAGATGGGTTACAAAACCCTTCCAGTCTACATGGGGACTCACAGACTCTGTTTCTGGGCATTGTCAAAATAATTGGGGGGAAAAACAATCCCAGATGTGCTTTTGAAAAGCCTGTACCCGGTCTTTTCCTCTACCTGGCACTAATTCCTGAAGTTTGCACAGATTGCCTGTGCATTTATTTGCTTCCTGAGAGCTCTTGTTAAAATAGGGTTAAAGCAGACTGCTTTTCAAGAACAAAAGGGACAGACTTGGGCTTTCCAGACCTCTCTTTTACACCTTTCCAGTGAAATCCTGGCAGCTGTTAATGCCAAATCCTGGCAGCTGCTAATGCCTCTTCCCTGTGCCTGCCCTAGACCAACGGGATGACAGGCTGGCTGGACGGTAGCTCCATCTACGGTCCCTCACACTCCTGGAGCGATGCCCTGAGGAGTTTCCTGGGGGGACAGCTGGCATCAGGGCCCAGCAGCAGCCTCCCGAGGCAGACAGATGGGAGGGTTCCCATGTGGAAGGCACTGGATCCGTCCACGGGACAGGGAGGTCTCCAAGGGATCTACGGTAATGGTGGCGTTACAATAGTTTTTTCTTCCCTGACTGGGAGCAGAGGGAGCAGAAGGTCCCTGGAGCTGAGCCCAGAGTGGAGCCCAGGAAAGGGGAAAGGGTGGAAGATGCAGGGAGGTAGGAATTTGGGTCAGGGGGCTGTAGGAGAGCAGGCAGCTTCCCAAGGGAGAGGAAGATTTGAGCCCCAGTGAGGACATCCCAGCAAGGACATGCCAGGAACTGCAGAGGCCACATGCCCAGGCAGCAGTGAGAGACCAGCTCTGATCCCAGCTGCACTCCTCTGGGGAAAAGGGCTGCTGCTGACACAAACCCACTCAGCTTGCTTTGAATTCCTCACCTGCCCAACGTTTGGTCCATGCTGGGGGCCCGGTGCTGCTTTTCACTTGCCCAGGTTGCCCAGGTTGCTGGTCTGCCTGGGGAGGAGGGAAGGGCGAGGCCACAAGGGGACCCTGGGCTGGATCAGCAGGGCTCGGTGTGCTTCCCCCAGTCACGGGCAAAGCTAGACCCAGTGGTCACATCCCCCACTGATGGTCGTGGTGGCTCTTTCAGACCTGGGGAGTGCTTGGGGGAATGAGAACCCCTTCCTGCAGGCCGAGAGCATTGCCTGGTTTCGGTACCACAACCACCTGGCCACAGCACTGGCCCAGAAGCATCCTGCCTGGTCCGATGAGGATCTCTTCCAGCACACCCGCAAGAGGGTCATCGCCACTTTCCAGGTGAGGGATGGGGCCCCCCAGCTCTGCTGGGACTCCCAACACCTTGCACGGTTCTGGCCCTGACCCAGTTTCTGTTCCCCAGAGCATTGTTCTGTATGAGTGGCTGCCAACCCTGCTGGGCACACGGGTCCCGGAGTACCGAGGTGAGGGGTAGGCGGGCAATGGAGTGTTGGAACCAGGGGTAGGGGGGCCAGGGGAGCTCCTGGCTGGGGAGGGACTTCGGCCCCTTTTCTCTCCAGCCTGGCTACTGCCCCACAGGTTACCAGCAGCACCTGGACCCCAGCCTCTCTCCAGAGTTCGTGGCAGCTGCAGGGCAATTCCTGGCCACCATGGTGCCTCCAGGTGTTTACAAGAGGTAGGAGCAGCCTGGTGGGACTAAGGGACGACTGCCCGTGTGAGGGGAGGGGATGCCCAGGCTGGCTTGGTGACTGGCAGTGGTCTTTGTTGGGATGGTCTCTGTCCCTTCCCCTGTCCTGCCCTCGGCTGAGGCAGCCAAGCCCTGACAGCTCCAGGCAGCCCTGGCTCAGGGCTGTGGCTTCAATCCTTCTCTGTTCTTCCAGAGACACCAAGTGCCGGTTCCAGAACGTTTCTGTCTCAGGTGGCTCATTCCCAGCAGTGCGGCTCTGCAACAGCTACTGGAGCAGAGAGGTACAGGGGAGGGAGCATGGGGGTCCTGAGGATGTGGTAGGCTGGCCAGGGGGCTTCTTCCCTTGCTCTGTGCTATGGGGCACTCCACAGGGGTCTGTAAGGGAAATTGGCTGCAGAGCATGACAGCCAGACAAGGGGTGAGAGATCCTCCCCATCCAGCACCCCCTCTTCGGCTGAGTCAGGTCCCCGATTCCCCTACGCCATGAAGTCAGCACCCCTGGGGGCACCAGTTCAGGGCTGTGGGGCTGCTTCCTGTCCTCCCTCATGCAAGAGGAAACACTTGCTCCTCCCATGCCTCTCAGAGCCCCGCGCTGCAGCAGGCAGAAGATGTGGACAACCTCCTGCTGGGGATGAGCTCACAGGTAGCAGAGCGGGAGGACAACATTGTGGTGGAAGATCTCCAAGGTCTGTACACAGCTGTGCCCAAGGCTGTGCTGGGGCAGGGTGGGGAGGCAGGGCTATTGCCTCCTCCATCAGCACCCAGGCACATGCTGGAGCTTCAGCCTTTCCAATGGAGGTGCCGAGAGCTGCAGGACACATGAGGCATGTCCACCCACAGATTACTGGTACGGGCCCCTGAGGTACTCCCGCACCGACTACGTGGCCAGCTGGCTCCAGCGCGGGCGAGACCTTGGCCTGCCAACCTATAACCAAGTGCGGCAGCATTTTGGGTTGAAACCTCTCCAAAACTGGTCAAACCTTGCCCCACACCTGGAGCCACAGGTAACAGGGAACCGGTCTGGGCAAGGAATGTATGTGGGCCAAAGGATGATGGGACATTCCAGGCAGGAACTGAATTCTGCAGCATCACAGGAGGAGGGAGATGAGTGCATGTCCTGCCCTGGCTGATTTTCATGCCCACAGGGGGGTAACTGTGTAATTTTCATTCTTGCATTGGGGTAAGTGCGTAATTACATGGCATGAATAAACCATCCTGCCCCAGTGCTGCACTCCCCTGCCACCGGGCACTCTGCTCATCCTAGAGCTGAGATGCTCTGGGAGTGATGCCCAATTGCTTAAGTTCAAGCCATGAGCTCGAGGCTGTGTGAGGCTCAGCAACCTCCCAGCCCACAGATGGGTGTGATTCCTGGGAAATGTGCACTCCTTACATCTCCTAAGGCTTGCCAACACTTTCCGATGCCCTGGCAGAATTCCCTGTGCTCACAGATGTGTGGTGGGGGTTTCTCACCAGGTCCTGCAGAAGGTCGCTGCCCTGTATGCCAACAACGTGGCTGAGCTGGAGATGCTCCCTGGAGGCATGCTGGAGGCTGAGGGCTCCCTCTTCTCTACCATCATCCTGGAACAGTTTGTGCGCCTGCGTGATGGCGACAGGTTTTGGTTTGAAAACACCAAGAATGGGTAATGGCTTTGTCCCTGGCTGGCAGCTGCTCTGCAAACCCCAGTAACACATGAAAACTGAGGCTGGAGGAAAAAGCATCCTCCAGCTTCCTCAGTTCCCTCCTGTTGCTGGTCAGTGATGCCTGGTGCAACCACTCTACTCCACGTCCCTTTCCTCAGGCTGTTCACAGAGGAGGAAATCAGGGAGATCCGTAACACCACCTTTCACAGCGTCCTGACCTCCGTCACCTCTGCCAAATCCACAGATCTCCAGCCCCACGTGTTTGTTTGGAGACAGGGTGAGTGCACCGTGCAATGGGAGGGCACGGGGAGGGAATGGCCCTAGCAAGGCAGCAAGGAAGACAGAGTCATCCCAGTGACACAGCTGATGAGTAAATGACACAGGGAACACATCAGGTTTGGGCTTTCTCAAGCCTCACACCTGCTATGACCCTAAACCAGCAAAATGGGCACAAAGTACAAGGGTTGCTTGTGAGCAGGACGTTGATGCATGATGCAGATGTTGAAAGAGGGCTGAGGTGCAGGGATGATCCCAAGGGGAAAATGCACATTACTGTTTGGCATAATGCCTTGGAATCTTTCCTCTTGGAATCTTGCCACACTCTTCCCATTTACTGTAAGCATTTCATTCATTCATTCTGGTAACATTCCAGACCTTGTAAGCTGCTCTTGTTCCCTTGGTGTGTATTCCTTGTAACCACACCAGGAGGACTCCCTGGATTTGCAGCATCTAGGAGAGCAGAGGCTCTTAGCCCCAGTTTGCTGTGGCCCAGGGTGCCTCTTGGTCAGTCCATCCCAACAGAAGAGGTGAAGGTGCTGAACCTCCAGAGCTCTTGAGTCCAGTTCTGTGCTTGGTTTGCTGTGGCGGGCAAAGGTTGAGCCCAAACCCAAAGGCTGTCATCCCCTAGATCTGGAGTTTAAATCAAGCACCCCAATTCTGCAGTGCTGGGTCACTCAGCCATGAACCCCATCAACATCTTGATGCAGAGGTTCCTGGGGGTGGTTCAGGTGAGCTGGGTACAAGGCCAGTGACACTCACAGCCTGTTTGCCCCTGCAGGGGACCCGTGCCCCCAGCCCCAGCAGCTGACAGCTCAACACCTGGCCAGCTGCACGCCCATGATGGTGCTGGACTACTTTGCAGGCAGTGGTGCAGGCTTCGGGATCATCATCGTTGTCCTCTGCTGCCTACCCCTGGGTTTGTCACTGTTTCTTCTTCCTGTCACTCTTCTCCTCCTCGTCCTCCCCACCAGAGAAAGGGGCTGAGTGCCCATGGACAAAGCACCTCCCAGCAGGAGCTGCTGAGTCACGGTCACTGCTGAGGTGCTTGAGCTGGCAGGGTCCTTGGGCTCCAGGAGGGAGCCAAAAGGGGAAAGGAGCTTTGTGATCTCTTATGCCTCCTTCTCCCGTGTGTCCCCAGTGACTCTGTTTGTGGCCTGGGTTGTTGCCGCTCTTCGCAAGAGAGATTTCAAGAAGCTGCAGGGGAAGCAGAGCACCAGTGTGCACAGGGAGGTGTCCGGCAAGGCCACACACGGTAAGGTGGCACCATCAACCCTGCTGTGGCAGCTGGTGCTGCTGCTGCAGTCAGGGCACCCACTGAAGCAGAGCTGGGCCTGGGGCCTTATACCCAGAAGGGATGCAAGGAGAAGCTGTTTCCCCAGGAGCATAGTCAAGCAATGGAACAGGGAGCCCTGAGAACTTGGTAGCCCATCCTATCCAAGACCTGACCAGATAAAGCATTGAGCAGACTGATCTGTGACTGGTCCTACTTTGGGCAGGAGGTTGGGCAAGATACCCTTACAACCTGAGTCCCTTCCAACCTGAGTCATCCTAATTCCCGTAATTCCAATCGTCCCCAGATCACACCTTGCCTGAAGGAAACCTGTGTAGAGCAATTGCACCAGCAGTTTCAGGACAGGGACAGTATCTCCTTGCTCTGCATACTGGAAAAGTCCTGCCTCCCTGCTCCATAGTCTGTACTCCTCCTGTGTCCATGTGCTTGAGCTCTGCAGTTAGGAGACCATCACCATTCCTTTAAGATATGACTGGTCATGAAATCACTCTCAAATGGCCTCTTGGTGAAGGAGGTTCTGAGATGAGTAGGAACCTTTCCATCTGAGTTCTGTGCTCTCTCCCACCAGCCATGGAGTGGCATGGGACCAAGACAGACAACTCTCCTGTCTACATTCAGCTCCAAGATGACAAAGTGCTCAAAGTACTGGATAGCAGAGGGTCTGTACTCCGGAGCATCAACCTGAAAGCCCACCAGAAAGTGGAGGTGATCCTCTCCAACAACAAAGGGAACAAAGCTCTGCTCCTGAAGAGCCCCAAGGAGTATGACCTGGTAAGTACCATGGGTTATGACACCTTCCCCTAGAACCTCCGCGGTCCCCTGCACCACCCAGCTGGTGGCACTGGAAGCAGTGTAAGTCCTTGAAGGGAGGTTGTGGCCTCCTGAGAACCACCGTCTCCAGCAAATACCATGGAGCTGAGCCTCTGATGGTTACAGCCAGTCTGTGGGTCCTTTGCAGGTGCTGCTCTTCAATGAGGAGGCCGAGAGGAGCATCTTTGTCGGGAAGCTAGGAGACTACTTGAAGGAGAGCAGATTTGACCTGCATCTGTATGAGATGAAGGAGCAGAGCCTGATGAAACGGGCAGTCACCCAGCGGCAGAGAAAACAAATTCTGGAGACTTTCTTCAGGCACCTGTTTGCTCAGGTGTGTAGAGGTGTAGCAAGCCCTGATGTGTGGGGAAGGTTTTCCTCTATGGATTAAGCAATGAAAGCTGGGGCTGGTGCTCTCTGTAAGAGCTGGTAAGCCACACACAAGGAAGCTGCCCATACTTCCAGGACCAAGGGACATTTTCCTTTGCAGAAGACAAAAGGGGATCTGCTGCAATGATACAAGTGTCTAAAGTGGCAAAAAGACTGTTGGGTGATGTAACAGGTCTCCAGAGTGGTCTGTTGCGTGGAGTGTGAGAAGTCACATGGTGTAGGAGAGACGCGGGACTTTCTCCACGGTATCTGCCGTGAGCTTTGTGCCAGGGAGCCCCCAGTGTTTGTGCAGTAGGTCAGAAAGAAAACACCAGCCTTCTGCTCTGCCATTACTCACAGCATTTCTTTTGTGGGACACAACCTGCAGGTGCTGGAAATCGACAGATCCGATGCTGGGGAGCTCAGATTTGAATCTTCACAGAAAGCAAAGGAGTCTCTTACGTGTGAGCTGAGCAGGGCTGAATTTGCTGAAGCCCTGGGGCTCAAAGACCACTCCATGTTTGTGGATTCCATGTTCTCCCTGGCTGACAAAGATGGCAATGGCTACATCTCCTTCCGGGAGTTCCTGGACATCTTGGTGGTCTTCATGAAAGGTGGGAGCTGGAGCTGGTTAATGCCTCATTCTGCTGCCCTAGGACCTGTTTCTAGGCTCTATCAGAGTGAAGGACAAGATTCACCCGGCAGGCCAACCTGTAGGCACTGCTACAGATTAAAATTTCCTTCACTCAGGACAGCTTCAGCTTGGGATATGGGCATGACAACACGTAGTTGTGTTTTCTGGAAGACAAGGGGAGCTGTCTTCCACCACCACAGACATGTCTGCCCTTTCTCCTGAAGGGACTGTGCATCCTGCACTTGAGAGATGATAGTAAGCGTGTCTGATATCTGATTCCCCCTAAATGGCCACTGGAATGGTGGATTCATAGGTGGAGGTGTTGAATGCCAGATTCAACCAAAACAACTCCCAGAAAAATCATTGCTCTGCAAAAGCACACTCTGACTTGGAAAAATAATGCACAAGGAAGAATGTGTGTCTACCCAGTATTTCATCTTGCGCTTGAGACAGTCAAGTGGAAGGGTGAGGCTTCACTGCTGCAGTGAAAACAACAAATGAAACATTCAAAAGCAACATATGAAAGCATCTTTGTTGATGAAAATAGGATCTTGTTCATACTTTGCCTCTTCCTCTCCCCACCAGGGTCCCCAGAGGAGAAGTCCAAGGTGATGTTCAGGATGTATGACATTGATGAGAATGGATTCCTCTCCAAGGAGGAGTTTCTGAGGATGCTCAGGTACTCTTCCTCCTCTCTCCTAATGTCTTCACAATGTTTATAGACATGTTCAGAAGCAGGTCCCAGCCTCTGTGCTTCAGGCCGCATGAAGACCATGGACTCAACACTTGCAACCGAGAGTCTGTTTCTCCCATGAAGGTGGTCTGGGACTCTGGGACTCTGCCCTGTGTTGTTTGAGGGGTTCAGCTGGTGTTCCCATCTCGCCTCCTTGCTCCAGGTCCTTCATTGAGATCTCCAACAACTGCCTGTCAAGAGAGCAGGCGGAGCAGGTGACCGAGTCCATGTTCCGGGCCTCAGGGTTTCAGGACAGGGATGAGCTGACATGGGAGAATTTCCACTACATGCTGCGGGACCACGACAGTGAGCTGCGGCTCACCCAGCTCTGTGTCAAAGGTCAGTGGACACGAGCACTGGGACACCCCAGGTCCTGCAAGGCTGGAGGCAATGGGCAGCACCCAATAGGTAGCTCTCAAATCCTGGCCCATCAATCTCCCCACCTCAGCTTCAGTACAGGGGCATCGGCTTTTGCTTTGTGTATGACATGTTTGGGTCAGTTCAGAGCTTTTCCCTGCCCACAGGAGATTCCTAAACTTTGTCTTGCACCTTCTGAATGGCTTCTGAATTGTCTTTTTGTCCCCTCAAAGGTGTCCCTGAGGTGTTCAAGCAAAATCTGCACAACTCTGCCTCCTTCATAAAAAAGAAAGAGCCCAAAGGGTAAGCTCCCTTCCTTAGTGTCACTGTTGCTATTCCTTCTCTTGCTGCCCTGGCCCACATCCATCCTTCATCCCAAGCCTTCCAACAAAGGCTCCCACAGTGGGATGTTGGATGTTGGAACTCCCAGCACTGGGGAATGGGTAGGAACTGCATGCTGGGTGCTACAGTGGGGTTGCTGTCCCCCTCCCCAGGCACAGCCAGAAGGGAGGAATTCCCTCCTGCAGGGCCCTGCTGCATCCTCTTTGTGGAGATGGGAGCCCTGTGTTGCTCTTCACATATAACATATATGTGAATATAACATATATATAACATATAACACAGGGGTTATCTTGGGGTGAATCCAGACCATGTGAAACTGAAGTTAATGCAGGCAGGCTTGTGGAAAAGAGCTGGACATGTTCCCAGCTGAGCCTGAGATGAGGAGTGGAGAAAAGGGGAAAATTTTGGCAAGCACTTCTGGCAAATAGAGCTTTGGGCTAGACATAGGTCTATTTCCACAGAACCATCTCAGAGGAGAAGAAAGACCCAAATCTGGATGCTGTGAGTCACTACATAGAGCAAGAAGGCCAAGAACTGAGGAAGAGACCAGGAAGAAAGTGAGTCCCCTCGCTGGCTGTGCCTCTGAGGCTCGGGCTCATCCTATTTGCTGTTTCTCACATCTCTGTGTCAGACTGGGTAGTCCTCCAGTCAAATGGCGCTGCTCCAAGGAGGCACTCATTGGCCAGGGAGCTACAGAAACAGTCCCATCTTGGCAGGACATTGCCATAGTTGGGTCTGGGTGATGTGCCTCTACAAACAAAAACCACCCAAACAAATGAAGTGGCCAACTCCAGAGGTTGGCATAGTGGTTTTTAGAGAGAGGTCTTGTCTGACAGTTCCTGCCTGCGCTCCTCTGCTTCCTGGGCTGCTGCTGGTTCACCTGGGCTGCGTACAAGAGCTGCACGAGAGAATTTGGTCCTCCCTGCTGTGGCAGCAGCAAGTATTTATTCAAGGAAGCAGTTCAGATGTTGTTATTGATGGCCAGAATAGCTTGGTTTGCCTTAATTGAACCAATTAAGGAAATGCCCCTTTTGTGGATAATTTTTGATTGTTGAATGCTACTATGAAACTTTCTTTTGCAGTTCTCATCTACAATTTCATTTGTGAGTCACTGCCTCTACATTTGCTAACTTCTGAAGGCATTGCAGGGCAGGCTGATCTAAGGTCACTCTCTGATGGTGTGCTCTTCAGGTCACCCCTGTCACTACTTTGACAAGAAACCCAAACTTGGGCCCTGAGCCATTCCTTGCCAGGGAAACCTGGTGATGACCAGCACTCCTGTATTTGCCAGGGCGAACCAGTACCAGATGCATCTGTACACAGAAGCACAACGGAGGAGATACGAGAGGAACAGAGTTCAGCAGAAGATCCAGGAGTTCAAGCGCTTTGTTGAGAATTACCGGCGCCATATTATCTGTGTCATCCTCTTCTCCGCCATCACCACTGGCGTCTTTGCCGAGAGAGCCTACTGTGAGTAGCCTACTCACTACTGTGGGTGCCCACCCCGCCCCGCTGTGAGGGGCCTGGCCTTCATGCCTCAAAGACTGGTGGTTGCTTGGGGTGTGATGAGGACTTGCCCAGCACAACTTTGGGCAACAGTGTCAGTCCTCTCATAGACTGAGGGTCCCCAAAGGATCGCTGAGATTGGAAGGGATCTCTGGAAGGGTCTGGTCCAATGCTCTTTTCCAAAGCTGAATGAGGCTGCTGAAGGTCTTGTCTAGAGAAGATGTGAAGAGTTCCAAGGCTAGTGACTCCACCACCTTGCTGGGCCTGTGCTGGTTTTTGACCATCCTCCCTTTGGAGAGTTTCAAGGATTCAAACCTGAATTTTCTACAGTGAAACTCATGCTCTTGTCTCACATCCTTCCACTGTGCACCCCTGAGAAAGACTTGCTCTGTGTGCCCATGGAATGGCTGCAGACAGCCAGCTTCCCTGACCCATCTCCTCCAGCCTGAACAAGCCCATTTCCCTTACACAGACATCTCTATGATGTCCTCCAGCTTCCATCCATCCTGGTGGTCTCCACTGGACTCCTTCCAGTTTATGGACACCTCTTATATTGGACTCCCCAACTGAGGCCAAGGTGAAGATTCCCAGGGGGACGTTCTCCTCCCTGGATCTGCAATGACCCTGTCACCCAGCAGTTCATTGTGCCCCTTTCCCCATACAAACCCATCCCTGTGGTGTCCTGTTTGTGGTAGAGCCACACAGGTGGCTGTCCCCTTGTTGCAGGAAGGGTCATGACCCTCAGCACTGGGCACATGACACCCCCTCCTCTCTCTCCCCAGACTATGCCTTTGCATCCCCCAGCACTGGAATTGCACAGACCACCTTCGTGGGGATCATCATCTCCCGGGGATCGGCTGCCTCCATCTCCTTCATGTACTCCTATATCCTGCTGACCATGTGCCGTAACCTCATCACCGTCCTGCGGGAGACCTTCCTCAATCACTATATCCCCTTTGATGCTGCCGTCGACTTCCACCGCTGGATTGCCATGGCAGCCCTGATTTTCTCAGGTGGGTGGGCTGCTGGGGGATGTGGGTGGGCAGGACCAGGCAGAAGCTTAAAGACCTTGCAGAGACGTAGATGCCTTGTGCGACAGAAGAGGAGAAATCTCTGGGTCCCTGGGGACATCAGCAGAGTCTGACACATCTCTATCCAAGTGATCCAAGTGATCACATCAAGTGATGCTTTTTTCTCCGTGTGTTTGTCTCTTACAGTGCTCCACACTGCAGGTCACATAGTGAATGTCTACATCTTCTCAGTCACACCTCTCAGCGTGCTGTCCTGCCTCTTCTCCAACGTCTTCACAGATGATGGGTAGGTGGAATTTGAAGCAGAGTCCAGACAGGGTGTCCTGGGCACGGACAGAAATAAAAACGGAAACCATTAGTTCATTCTGGTCTCTCCATGGTGCAATCTCTTGTCCTCCAGGTCACAGCTGCCACAGAAGTATTACTGGTGGTTCTTCCAGACTGTTCCAGGTGAGAACACCTAGCAGGCAGACCTGCACAGCTGTGACCAGGATGGGCAGCCCTCTGCCCAGTCCAGTTAGCGCCCCTGTGGGGCTGCCCTGTTCTCCCCCACAGGGCCTCCCAACTCTTCTTCTCACAGGCATGACAGGAGTGCTGCTGCTCGTGGTCCTCGCTGTGATGTATGTGTTTGCCACCCACCACTTCCGGCACGTCAGCTTTCAGGGCTTTTGGATCACTCACCACCTCTACGTGCTGCTCTACATCCTGGTAAGGGATTTGGGCCGGAAGGGAGGGATGGTGCCAACGTGCTGCAGTCCTCTAGGTCAAGTCAGTGCAGCTGATGAGATGGAATAGCTTGGGGTAGTCCCAAGGGAGATGGTAGCCCCAGTCCTGGCTCCCCATTGCTGTTGAGCTGCAACAAAATCACCCCTGGGGTGATGACTCACCTCGCTAAAGGGTTCTGCTCCCTGCCCAGGTCATCATCCATGGCAGCTATGCACTGATCCAGCAGCCCCGTTTCTACATCTACTTCATCATCCCAGCTCTCATCTACAGTGCAGACAAGCTGCACAGCCTGAGCAGGAAGAAGGTGGAGATCAGTGTGGTGAAAGCTGAGCTCCTGCCCTCAGGTACCACAACATCCCTGGCCACACAGCACCAGCCCAGCCCAGGCTCCCCGCATCAGGGGCTGCAGCGATGCGGAAACATCGACTCTTCAACATCTCCAACTTAACAGAGCCGCCTCCCCGATTTCCCCACAGGTGTCACCCACCTGCAGTTCCAGCGGCCACAGGACTTTGACTACAAGTCTGGGCAGTGGGTGCGCATTGCCTGCGTGGCCCTGGGCACCAGCGAGTACCACCCCTTCACGCTGACCTCGGCTCCGCACGACGACACGCTGAGCCTGCACATCCGCGCTGTCGGGCCCTGGACTACCCGTCTGCGGGAACTCTACTCTCCCAAGAACCTGGCCCTCCTTGGCACACTGCCCAAGGTGAGCCCTGCACAGGATGTCACCCAGGGGGACATCTGAGCCCAAGAGCCTCTCGGCAACGGATTGTGCCAAGTCCGAGGCACTTCTCCAGCCCTGAAGGCTTCCATGACCTGGGCAAGCAGAGACTTCTGCTAACAGCTGACTCCCTTCCAGCTGTACCTGGATGGGCCCTTTGGGGAGGGCCACCAGGAGTGGAACAAGTTTGAGGTGTCGGTGCTGGTGGGAGGAGGCATTGGGGTGACACCCTTCGCATCCATTCTCAAGGACCTGGTCTTTAAGTCATCAATAAACTCCAAGCTGCTGTGTAAGAAGGTAAGAGTATGTGAAAGACAAGCCCACCTAAGAGGCTGGACTCCATGATCACAGGGGTCTTTTCCAACCTAATTGATTCTGTGATTCTGAGATGCCTCCTGTGGCTGCTGGCCTCTTTGGGGGTAAAATCCTCCATGGAGTCCATGGGCATTCATAAAGAGGCTGGCCCCGCTCTGGGCCTCATTCCACTGTGCCACAGATCTACTTCATCTGGGTGACGCGCACACAGTGGCAGTTTGAGTGGCTGACTGACATCATCCGGGAGGTGGAAGAATCGGACAAGAACAACTTGGTTTCTGTGCACATCTACATCACACAGCTGGCTGAGAAGTTCGACCTGCGCACCACCATGCTGGTGAGCCTGCACATCCAACGGGGAGGATGCCAGGCTGTGCCAGGCCATGCCAGGCCGTGCCAGGCTATGCTGGGCCGTGCCAGGCCATGCCGGGCTGTGCCGGGCCGTGCTGGGCCATGCCGGGCCATGCCGGGCCATGCCAGGCCATGCTGGGCCATGCCGGGCCGTGCTGGGCTGTCTGACGTGCACCAATGTCTCTTTCAGTACATCTGTGAGCGGCACTTCCAGAAGGTGCTGAACAAGAGTCTGTTCACAGGGCTGCGCTCCATCACCCACTTTGGGCGCCCTCCTTTCATACCCTTTTTCAGCTCGCTGCAGGAGGTGCACCCTGAGGTCAGTGTCTGGCTGGGGACAGGAGCAGGTGCACCCACTGCCCATTGTGGTGGACTGGTCCCAGCCTGTCCCCAAGGTCCTGGAGACCTCAGTGGCATCTGCACCAAGAACAGAGTAGAAGGGGAATGAATCCTGTTTTCCTTCTGGAGCCAGGCGGAGCTACAAGAGTCAGCAATGCCCCATACCAGCCAAACTCCTCCTGCTATTGCAGGACCCTGGCTGCAACCAGTGGTCAGAGCTGGGGGGCTCCCATCCCTCCTCCATGGCTCTGCCAGCTCCATGGGAATGTGGCAACCTCCCCAAAAGCCTCTGGAGGCTGAGAAAGACTGCTCAGCCAGCATCCATGGCCAAAGCTGTCAGAGAGCAAGGGATCGAGAGGGGCTGGACTGTGGGGAGACCTGGTGCTGCAGTCTGACCCCTTTGGCTCCCTCCTTCCCCAGGTGCAAAAGATCGGGGTGTTCAGCTGTGGCCCGCCCGGGATGACAAAGAGTGTGGAGCAGGCTTGCCGGCAGATGAACAAGAAGGACCAGACCTACTTTGCACATCACTATGAGAATTTCTGACCCTGCCTCACACTGTTCCACCCTCTGGCTGCAGCTGTATTTTTTCACTCCAGCACCTAGCAGCAACACTTCAAGCAGCCATGGTCCCGGGCTCCCACCCACCAGCCATGCACAGCTGACAGCAGGGATACTGAGACTGCAGAGCAGAGAGTGATGTGATAGTGAAGCCTTGCCATCCCAGCACTGCATGGCCCCTGTGTGAACTCCTGAGCCCAGGACATCCTGCTACCATCCACACATTCCTGCAGCCCCACACCCAGGGTCACGCTGGTGTGTCCCAATCCAGAAAACTCACTCTTTGAGTTAATCCCAGCTCTGCCACCTTAATCACACAAGACAGAGCTTGTACTCTGCTGGAGGACTCAGGGAATGTCTCTGACCAGCTTTGAGGAACAGCTTGGTGCCTGCACAATCTGAACTCACAGCACTTTGTTCCAAGATCCATGTGGTGAACAGATGGGGTGAGGAGCCAGCAAGTTCCCTGCTATCCCTCTTCTTGAAACAGCTTTCCTCACATACTCTTCAGTGCCTTCTTCTGCCTTCCGTGGGTTTGCATAGGGCCTTAGCTGGGTTTGCATTGGCTTCTTCCAGCACTGTCATAGTCCTTTGACCAGGGATCAGTAGTGCTTGTTTAAGTAATGCCTGGCTTTGCATCACTGCTGCTTTTGCAGGCTGTGGTTTAGCTCAAATAAAGCTGACTGAAGTCTTAAAATGCTTTCCTGGCTCCTGTAGTTGGATCTTGGTCACCTGGAGACTTGTAAAATACTTGTAGCATCATGCTGGCCTTGCTCCTGGCACAGAGCATTAACTCCAGCCCACTGGAAAATGGGCTAAGTTGGAGTTTCCCCTGCACTGGTGACATAGGTGGAGTTGGGAGTGGGGAATTACAGTCAGAGCCCCACTGATTATGTCCACCAGACCTATCACCCCAGCAATCCCCCTGCAGTGTCAATGCCCCCAGCAAGACTTGATGAGGGAGCAGATCAGACAAAGAGCCCAAGCAGGCTGAGCTGTGGGAATGACTCCAGCCCTCAGGATGCTAAACAGCCCCCAAAGGCTACAGAGGAAAGATTTCCATTTCCCAGTAAGAACAATCTTGCAATGGCCACTGGTCTTCCAGCCATGCCAGTGGGGATCCCCACAGGACAGGAGTTGGGATGGCCAGTGAATCCCCAGCCATGCCAACAGGCTTCCTCCCAGCATGGGAATGTGCTGAGCACAGATTTTGATCGCTTCTTCCAGCTACAGAAAGTTCCCCTGGGTTATGTCTCATCCCTGTAAAATCCAGCATGGACTTGGGGCCTTCCATCTGTGCCAGGACTAACTTGGCCACCTCTGGAATAAATGTGAGATTTCATTTGCAAGCGGTTGGGTGGTTTGAGGTTTCACAGTCCTGCCAACACTGAGCTCAACCTGCACCCTGGCAAGGCTTAGGTCTGCACAGTCCCCTCCAACCCACCACCCTACATTTCAAAGGACACATCTGGAAGGTCTCAGGCAGCCAGAATTTATTGAGGAAAGTTCAGTTCCAGCCCAAGGAAGGAACTGATCTCTCAGTACTAAAATTAATATGACTGTAATCAAAGATTAGACTTTTGCTACATTGTTAGTACCTTGTTTGTGGCTCACAAACTCAGCAGGAAGGCTTGATACTCCCAAAATATGAGTTATTTAATTATTAAATTAATAAATAAATTAATTATGAGCTGTTCACAGTGGTAAAACCTTTGAGTGATGCTGTCCCCTCATGTCTCACCTGTGCTCTCCTTCACATCAAAAGCAGCTGTGCCCCCCAACAGCCCCTTCACAGGAGGCACATAAGGACAGGACTCTCAGCAGTCCCAGTCTCCCTGCCTGCAGTGCTCCCACGAGGAGCTGCTGGGGGGTGACACAGCAGACGTGGTCCCAGCTGACCTCCAAGTTTCAAAAAAACCCCGGTTCTGAGTTTTGAGAAGAGTGCCCTGAATGTGCCAGTGCTTCCCATGGAGTGGGGAGGGGCAGGCTTTTTTCCACAGGCTGTACAGTCCCTGAGCACCCACAAGGGAAGGGGGAATATTCATATAGGGCTACCTGGCATCCAGGGATTGCCATGCAGGAAGTGCTGCAGCCAGGGCAGTGTGGGATGGGAAGGGGGAGTGCCAGCATCTCCACCCTTGCTGTGCCACATGCCAGTGACACCCTCCCTGGCACATGTGGTCTGTGAAGAAGAGCCACCAACTGTACAAATCATCATCTCTGATTCAGGATTTTGATTCAAGCTATTGGCTGTCCATTTGTGGTTACCAATTAATGCTCTAATGCTGTTTCCCAGTGCCGCTGACGCTCATTACGAGTGATTTTCTAGTTACAAGCAGCAGGGATGAGCACCGGGCACTGGGACAGCTCAGGGGCTCTGATCGGTGGGGTCACACTTCAGCATGACTTTGACCCCCTCACCCCTCTTGGTGGTCTCAAAGGCCTCCAGAGCCTTCTCCAGAGGAAAACGGTGCGTAACTAAGGGCTGGATGTTGATCCTCTTGGATGCGAGAAGAGCGATGGCCACAGGCCACCTGCAAGGGAAGCAGAGAACAGGGGATGAGAGTGGACACTAGTCTGGAGTCCAAGAAAAGAGCATGGAGCAGCCTGGATTATCACAGTTACTTCCTTAACCCAGGGAAGTTTTGCCTGCAAAGAATCTTCTGGGGAGGGAACCTTAAGATGGGACAAGCCAACTGCTCTGGGCTGTTGAGCTCTGAGAAGACAGACACCACTAAACAGATAGTTGGGAGAGTAAATGAAATCACAGGAAGCAAGTGAAAATCACGGGAAACTACTACTTTGGAAGCCCTGAATGAGAAGCAAAACTGCCATGCTCCACTCTCCTTTTGCCTGGCCTCTTGCCTGCACACTGACCGTGGTGGAGCTCCAACTCATGGACTCAGTGCAGGGAGAAAAAAGGGAAAGCCTCAGTCCAGCCTCTCCTTTGGCACAGAGTCCCTCATATGGATTGCGTTGCCAGTTCATTTAGAATCATAGAAACACTGAGACTGGAAAAGGCCTCCCAGATCATCAAGTCCAAGCATGAATGGGCCACATTAGAGCAACAGGGATACAAAGGGATGCAGAAGCTAACCTAGCTCCCAAACTGCCTACTTATTAATGCTTCTCATTTTAAGGAGTGCGACATCATCCCATAAATCCTTCCTGGAGAGCTACAGATTAAGAAAAGATACTTTCTGCATTAGGAGGAAAGTATTGCTCCAAAGAATTTTAACCTGGGGACACATCAGCCCCCCCTGCACAAGACTCACGTGTTGCAGTAGCGGAATATCCCACGGATATCCACCTCCCGCACAGCAGCATTCACGATGGGCACCGTCACCATCTCAGGCCCCAGCCCCACCAGAACCAAGGTCCCACCAGAACGAGTGGCCTGGAGAGCAAACACACAAACAGGTTTCATTTTGCAGAACACAGTTGCAGGAGCCTGTGCAGGGTATGTCAAAAATAAGACCAGCCTTTGTGGCTGCAATGGACTGCCTGGAGCACAGCAGAGAAGCCAGGGAGAGACAGGATGCTGTCAGGAGTCTGTAAGAGTGAAACACGTAGTAACTGAAGCTAAAAATGCAACCTTTTGAAAATCTCTGAAGGATTTTGGTAGGTATCTGAAATTCCTATTCTGAAAACCCCATTCTGAAAAGTGGCTGGCATTTAGGACTACAAAAAGTACTTTGGGATTTCAGTGGGAGAGACTTAAAACTAAAAGCCTGATGCTCTACTGGAATTTCTCTTCTTGCAGTTTGTCCCATTCCCCTCCTGTCCTTTCACTGTGCAACTCCACATTAACCTTCCCCCCATCCTTCTGTTAAGATGTTCATGGCAGTAAAACATCCCTTTCTTAATTTCTGCTTTCATTGCTTCTGGAATTAATTTTCTTGATTATTCTTCTTATTTGGACATAACTTCAATGGAAGGTGCTGTCCTACTCCCTGGTTTTGGGGATCTTACTGGGGTCTCCTTGGTAAGTGCTTAAGCACCCAAGCATCAAATCAATGATCAATTATCCCCATGCTGAAAGTTAACACTTTAATTGTCTCTGTTCGTTTACTATCGAAGGAGCAAATTCTCTCCCCAAGAGAGAAGCCCAGCTTAAACAAAGCACTGTGGGAGTGCAATAGCTCATTCACTGAACCATCCCAGAAAAAGCCAGACTAACACCATCACTGCCTTTGGAACAAGTGGTACTCACATAAATTCCAGCCTGGATACAGGCTTGTGCTCCTGTGCACTCCACAGTTATCTCAGGCATGCAGCCAAGCACACTTTTCACTTTGGAGGCCACCTCCTGCGGGGCCTCATTCTTCACCTGAATGGTGAAATCTGCTCCCACCTCCTTGGCTTTTTGCAGGCGAGAGGCAGACAAGTCTGTGGAAAGAAAACCAAGTCAAGAACTGGAGCATTATGTGAAAGAGGAGGAAGAACCTGAACCTGCCATCTGCTCACTACGTGTGTGCACAGGGCAGTGCACAACCAGAGAGGTGAGGATTCACTCCTACTTGGCAGGCAGAGAATGACCATAAAATCTTGGAATAGTTTGGGTTGGAAGGGACTTCAAAGCTCCACTCCACTTTGAAGTGCCATTCCCTGCCATGGGCAGGGACACCTTCCACTAGAAGCACAAGGTGTTCCAAGCCTTGTCCAGCTTTGAACACTTCCAGGGATGCAGCAGCCACAGCTGCTCTGGGCAACCTTTGCCAGGGCCTCATCAACCTCACGGGGAAGAATTTCTTCCCAATATCCCATCTAACCCTGCCCTCTGGCAGTGGGAAACCATCCCCCCTTGTTCTGTCCTTCCAGACCCTTGATCTAAGTCCCTCTCCAGCTCTCTTCAGGCCCTGGCAGGGGCTCTGAGCTCTCCCTGGAGCCTTCTCTTCTCCAGGCTGGACACACCCAGCTCTCCCAGCCTGGCTCCAGAGCAGAGGGGCTCCAGCCCTCCCCTTTATTATCTTCACTCCTCTCCT